ATGATTAATTCGGTTTGGTATTTAAACACGTTGCTGTTTTGTTTAGTTTTTAATCTACATCTGTTATTTCGGTCACGCCCCCGACACGTGAGAGCCTCCCGATGCTCAATTAAGACAATATAAAACCAGCTGTGAGTACGATTCATTTAATAACTTATTAATTTCAGTATTGTGTCACAGCAGACGTGTGTGTTAACAGGTGAAAAAATAATGATCAAACTATTAATTGCATACGTTTTTATCGCGCAATTGTGGAGTGTGAGTATTGAGGTTTATATTAATAGTCCATTGATTTCCGGGCTAGATCTTCTCAGTGGGTCGCGATTCCGATCCGGTGGTAGATTCAGCTGAGCGCTGCTTTTGTCTGTCTCCAAGGTTGAGACCCGTGAGGTCGCCTACGCGTTCGCTAAAGCTAGCATAACCCTAGTATCTATAGTAGAATTATTTTATCCGTGCAGTTTGGGTCATAAAACATAGCCCGGCTAGGGCGGTGAGCATGTTGCACGGGCGCAACGCCATTATCGATAAAAACAAAATTTCTTTAGTGACACAATGACTACTCCTTTGTTTTGTATCAAAACGCCAGAGCTTATTCAAAATAATATTTGCACGTGTTATCAACAATGTGTTATCAACAATGTGTTAAAATTTTTCACTGAAATAAGAATAGATCCCGAAAAGTTACAAAGTGTTAATTTCTGCCGTTCTCGTTAGCTTGCTGCGGCGATATGTGGTGTAAGTGTTCGATTAGTGATTTTTACTTTCATTTTTATCACTAACCCACAAAATGACAAAACTAAATACACTATCGATAACGCTTATCGACAACAATAATGCGCATCACTATGTCCGTCCATAAGGCTCGTGAGTGGAAGAGAGAGCGAAATACTCGCTTCACCGCTCCGATTTTTTATGACTCAAACTGCACGGACAAAATAATTCTACTATAGTAAGTGGTAGGCAAAAATAATATTAATAGCTTTAAGATAGGTAGAAGGAGAAATAATTTGGCATTGACAATTTCAGAGAATTCAGAACAGAATTCTGTTTTGGAATTCGAAGGGATGATATAGTGCTTTTTCCTCCCTACTTGGTCGCTAGTAGACTAAGAGCTAAGAGACTATTCCAGCTATGCCGGGGCGGGTAGGTGAGCTCACGGGCTCAACCTGAGAGAATTTGCTAACACTAGCCCTAGCAAGAGTAGTGCTTCGCAGAATCTACCACCGGATCGGAAACGTGACCCACTGAGAAGTGTAATACAGAAATCCGTAGCATCCTCCGCATTATGGGAACGTGATGGCGAAATTAACCTCCACGTCATTGGAGCTTACTGAGGTCACATGTATTTGTCCTTAGTTTAGTAAATGAATATAGTTTTCAGTTTATGTCAGAGTTTATTCTGGTTTCGCTCTAGTAACACCCTGTTTAAATCATTTACGATGACTTTTGGCGGGAACGAATGGAGTGAAGTTGTGTGATTTGTTTTATTTTGTCTATTTAGTGTTTCTTCAGGTTTAAATGTGTAATAACGGTGGTTTATTAACTGTTTAATATCTCTGAAAGTGCACAAATGTGGGAAAATGAAACAAAGCCACTGGACGTAACTTCTCGTGATCCTCCAAAAAGTCCACTGAAAAAATTTTAGTAGATGACCACCATTTTACTAAGATTATATTTCATCTCATATCATCTCATCTCATTTCATTTAATTTCATTCCAGTTGATTAATGTCTCAAACTAATCAATCTTCATTGCATTTCATTTCACTCCATATTATCATTTTTCATAACAATATGAATATAAATTAAAATATGACATGACTTAAAGGCCTTAGTTACCAGGTCATAAAATCAATTAAAAAAAACCATTTACGATCTTCCAGCGAGAGCGTGTCGTTTGTCGGTAGGTTGACGTCTTCTTCTTCTCAATCATGTCACTTTACTTATTTTTTATTGCTTTGATGTTAAGCCCAGCTCATAGCCCACCTGATGTTAAGTGGTTACCGGAGCCCATGGGTATCTAAACTCAAATACCGCCACCTACCTTGAGATATAAGTTCTAAGATCTCAGTATAGCCACAACGGCTGCCCCAACCTTCAAACCGAAACGCATTATTGCTTCACGGCAGAAATAGGCAGGGTGGTGGTACCTACCCGCGCGGACTCACAAGAGGTCAAACAGACAGAGTGGTCGTAATTGTCATGTGGTGTTGGGGGGGCCAGAGTTGATGTGTCTCACGATGTCCCGCCATCTCTCCCTGGTCGAGGCCATTCTACTGCATTCATTTTGGGAACCTCTCACTGCATTTTTAATTTGGTCAGTCCACCGCATTTATGACTTCTGACGTGGACAAATGGAATTTTATACTTCAGAGCTCTTATATAGGCAAGCTTATCTTGAATAAATCGTTAGCGCAATTGAGGTTTCAAAAGTTTTTTTTCTATTTCATGATAAAAAGCGCTACACCCTGTATAACATTCAATAATAAAACTGATCTGAACACTAATATGTAAAAAGCATTTACACGGAAAGCCAATGAATTTTTTTGAGTGAATTTTCGCAAAACCCGTTTTTTTTAAATTGCTTCCATGCATGAACCACCTAACGGACTAACTTGAGATAAGACATAAACAAATTATTGTACAATAATGGTGTCTCATTTAAAAGTATATACCTAATGTTTTGTTTACAGGCAGAGCCACAGTATACAACGTGCGATGATGATAATGAAATATGTGAGTTAAAATCTATATTTTTATGAACTTTTAACAATAGATTATCTATCTTTTATTTGGGGCCGTTTTCTCTTCTAATTTTCCGTCAAAGCTGGTAGTTACATCTGGTAGTTACATACACGACGACAATTTCTCACTTAATATCTGGACCCTTATACCTTTCCTTGTATTACTAGACGCTCGATTGAATCGTCTCATGATCCACGTCCAAGCGTCAGGTCTGACTGCAGCGTATCCCGAGCGTTTTCCACCAATACCACTACTAACTTTGGGTGTACCTAATCGTCGGATGTTTGTGCATCTGATTGTTTATGGACTCAATATATCAATTGACTCAATTCGTCATGGCCTAAAGGATCTACTAAAGGAACTACTCGAAGCGAAACAGCGAACGGATCACCTGAAGCGAAGCGGAACAAGCGAATTGAGAGTTTTAAAGTGTTTGTTGAGTATTTTAAGTGTTGAATACAGTTTTTAAGTTGTACTTTGGTGAAATTTTATTTATCCTGGACCCTCAGCGCGTAACAATATAATCAGGCGAAAAACACAGAGGATCTGTAGGCTAGGTTGCACGTGAAACTCTTTAACGACTTCGACGAGAACGGTGACCGGTGCCTAAAAGCACGGAGACTGGATGCAAAGGATCCGTAAGGCTATACCTGGATCGAGTGGAAGAGCCATTATTTGATTTGAAATTACACTTTAAGGCCATAAGTACTTAGACGTAATCCACATTATGATTAATGTTTAAATTGAAAATTCGACCAAACTACGATGATGGATTAGCATCGCGAAATGAAAGTATTTTCTCAAATGGTTTAAATGGATGGATGAGCTCACGGCCCACTTGGTGTTAAGTGGTTACTGGAGCCCATAGACATCTAGAACGTTAATGCACCACCCACCTTGAGTTATAAGTTCTAAGGTCTCCGTATAGTATACTTCACCGTGGAAGTCAATCGTGAACATTTGTTGAGTACGTATTTCATTACAAAAATTGGAATTCGCCTCGGATTCGAACACCGATGCATCGCTCAACACGAACGCACCGGACGGTCCGGGCGTCTTATCCTTTAGGCCACGACGACTTCTAATAATGATTTACGACAGACGAAGACAGGGTGTTGATACAAATCCATTTCGAATCACAAAAACAAATTTAATCGTAACCCCGTTTCAGCTTTAGAAGTGGAGGAAGAAGATACGAATAGAGAGGAAAAGAGAGAAGCGATATTGAATATGATTGTGAAACTCGCGAATGTAACTAAGGAATACTTTGGTATGGTATATTGGTAATAATATTTATTTATTTATTTATTTATGTACACACAGAAAAAAGACATAGTACAGAGTAATAGGAAAATTATGTACAAAGGCACTGCTTATTTCTTTAAGACATCTCTTCCAGCAGACCTGCGAGAGGATAATAAGAATAATAATAAAAAGTGATAAGTGTGTGTAGAACAAATAACACATAACTAAAATAACAAATACAAGATGAGAATTATAGTAATGCACATGCACATAGCAAATATTGTTAAACTTGAATACAAAATATTATAAGTAACACAGTAACACTCGTATATACGAAGAGTATAGAACCATGATCATTCGGTTGATGAGAGATAAAATTGCTATTATTTAGCTCGTCAAGTTTAACTTTATATTTCACAAGCTGACCCGGCAGACTTCGTAGTGCCTCAACCAATAAATAAAATACCTAAGCTTTTGTATAAAATAAACTTAAAACAAACAAAAGGAATCCGTCCGACGGGGGACACATCAAAGGAAAAACAAAATTGTTATTTTTATTTAATTCTGAGCAATTTCATTTTAATCTACATTTTAAACCTCTGGATTTCCACAAGTAATTCAAGACCAAAATTAGCCAGCCGGTTCAGCCGTTCTCGAGTTTTAGCGAGACTAACGAACAGCAATTCATTTTTATATATATAGATTTGTCAAATGTAACTTTATATTTAGCTCGTCAAATTTAACTTTATAGTATTTAGTTTGTCAAATCTTACTTTATATTTAACTCGTGAAATTTAACTTAATATTTATGGTATATTTTCACAGATCACAATAACAACACAGATAATCGAAGAATTGAAAAGGATGTCATCAATCCTTTGTTCGATACAATAATTACAGCCGTCCGAGAAATCGATTTACAATAACTTCGTTGAACTTTCAATAAAGCTTTTTGTGTGCTTCAAGGGTTTTTTTACTACACACTTAAGCAATAAAACACTTTTTTTTTATTTATCAAATAATTTACTTAATTCCATAAATAAGGCAGAATACAAATAAACCCTTTGTCCCGAATGTGTTTGTCGTCTTGCAAGCGTGTTATTAAACTTGTATTAACTACATCAAATATTATTACAAAAAGTACAAAAAAACAACAAAAATTGGTCTAAAAATTTAGCTAATTAACGATTTCAAATATTCATAGATGAGCCGAAACGAAATCTCTGCAATGAAAAAAAAAATCCAACTATATAATTAGTTTTAAAATATTAATTAAAGAGTTTTAAAGCATGCGTACTCGCATATTTAGAATAAAGCAAGGCGTTCATAAAAATACAACTGTACTATCAATAGACTTTGAGGCATAAAAGGTCCAAGTTTCATCGTCTCAAGTGTACTGTGCATTGGCTGTCAAATCACACGACCGCTTAGCCGCCGAAATAGGCAGGGCGGTGGTTCCTACCCGTGCGGACCTCAAGACCTCCAGCGGGAGTCGCGTCTTGGACAGCCACTCAATATTCCTCCTCCTTTTTTTTATTGCTTAGATGGGTGGACGAGCTCACAGCCCACCTGATGTTAAGTGGTTACTGGAGCCCATAGACATCTACTACGTAAATGCGCCACCCACCTTGAGAAATAAGTTCTAAGGTCTCAGTATAGTTACAACGGCTGCCCCACCCTTCAAACCGAAACGCGTTACTGCTTCACGGCAGAAATAGGCAAGGCGGTGGTACCTACCTGTGCGGACTCACAAGAGGTACTACCACCAGTAAAAAATGGATCGTTCTCCTCACTACTGAGGGTCGTGACTCCTCCACTGCATCAGTCTCTCTTGTACGATTGTCCTCCATCTGCGATCCTTGGTGGAGGGCATCGTGGAGCTTGCACTCACTGTTACCTGAGCTTAAGTTTACTTGCAATAAAAAGGACTATTCTTACCCTATAACTTGGGTCAAGTCTTTGGCCTCGCATATCCACTTGTGACCCAGGTTCTCGGATTTCTCGTAGGCATGTAACGCGACGGTGGCGCCACCTTGCGAGCGCGAAGCTAGTATCGATTTGTACAACTGGAATTTATATAATAATAAAAAAAAACCGTGTCAAATACAAGTTATATAGTCTTAAATGATTTTAGAACTATTATTACTACATTCTGTTTCAGCTCATATATGTTTGTCTCATTTTTGAAGTGAAACTTCTTTAGGCGCATGAGGGTAAAATTTTTACAGAACGTCACGCAGGTATGCAACGGAAGTGACATCAAACTACTATTGAAATTAAGTACTTGTCAAATGTCAGTAGTAGTAGTTGTTGTATTTTTCCAACTGGAAAGGCAAATGTATCATACCATACAGCCTAATATTTTATATTTTTTTTGTGAAAAATGTTAATAGGAATTGAAATGAAATGAAAAGAATTTGGAACATTAATCAAATAGCATGAAATTTTATTAGTCAATTCAATTGGCAAAATATTAGTCATTTATTACAGAACGTCACGCAGGTATGCAACGGAAGTGACATCAAACTACTATTGAAATTAAGTACTTGTCAAATGTCTAAAGTAGTAGTTGTTGTATTTTTCCAACTGGAAAGGCAAATGTATCATACCATACAGCCTAATATTTTATATTTTTTTTGTGAAAAATGTCAATAGGAATTGAAATGAAATGAAAAGACTTGGAACATTAATCAAATAGCATGAAATTAAATTAGTCAATTCAATTGGCAAAATATTAGTCATTTACAATTTAGAAATCTAAACATAATGTGACTGTCAACACTGAGGTTTGAGATTGACATTTGACAGACTTTTGGCGGGAACATATCTTCCTTTTTCCCTTCCTCTAAGTCTCGGATATCTAAAGTTTTAGATTTGTATAAATATAAGCAAGACTTATAAATTAGTTGGCCAAAAAAGTTTCACTTCTGACATGTGTACTTTGTACGCACGCACTTTTTTATTTAGTAGTGTCGCTTTTTCGCTTCGTCGGGTATCGCAATATACACAAGAGGTCCTACCACCAGTAGGCAATTACGCAAATTATAATTTTCTGGGTTTGATTTTTACTACACGATGATGTTATACCTTCACCGTGGAAGTCAATCGTGAACATTTGTTTAGTAAGTATTATATTTCATTAGAAAAATCGGTACACGCCTGCGGGATTCGAACACCGGTGCATCGCTACATACGAATGCACCGGACTTCTTATCCTTTAGGCCACGACGACTTACAATACTTTACAATGTAAATGCGCCACCCAGCTTGAGATAAAGTCATTATAGTCACAACGGCTGCCCCACCTTTCAAACCGAAACGCATTACTGCATCACGTTTTTTTATTATTTATTGCTTAGATGGGTGAACGAGCTCACAGCCCACTTGGTGTTAAGTGGTTACTGGAGCCCAGACATCTACAACGTAAATACCACGACCCACCTCGAGACATAAGTTCTAGGGTCTCAGTATAGTTACAATGGCTGCCTCACTTTTTTTTTACGTCAGAGGTAGTGGTACCTACCCGCGCGGACTTAGTTTTACCAATGTAATTGAGGTCTCAGTCTGGTCTTGGGTCTGACCTGGAGTCCGACGGCGAAGGGCACCACGACGTCGTCCCTGGCGTGCAGTATGAGCACTGGTAGCCCTGGGGCCTCGCCCAGGTGCCTCTCAGACTGGAACCTCTGCTCGGGGTGGACCCTGAAGGGCTCCACGAAGGTCGCCTCGTAGTACGGCAGCCACGTCACCAGCTGGGGCCGAGTGACGGGTATAACAAGCAGTAGCAGTTTTATTTTTCGTAAACGCAAAGGTGTCACACCATACAGCCTAATCTTTTATATATCGACGCTTGAAAGGCAAACGTGACTAAGCGACAATGACTGCTTTATACATAAATGATAGGCAATAACCATATTCGATGCGCAAAAAAATATATTTCTAGGTCTATTAAAACCATTTCAATCCTACAGCTAGATTCGTTAAAATATAATTTTTTTCAGGTATTTCAACTTTAAATTAGTCTACTGTAAAGTTCACGCATTGTCGCTTAGTCACGTTTGCCTTTCAAGCGTCGATATGTATATTTTATGAAATATGATATAATGAAATGAAATGAAGCTGATTAATATGAAACACGGCATGGCGTGGAATGAAACGAGGTGATATGATATGAAATGGGATATTTTTTATAAAAAATAATAATATGGAGTGAAATGAACTGAAATGAGATGAATTAGGATGAAATATAATCTCAGTAAAATGGTGGTGTCATTTACTAAGATTTTTTCAGTGGACTTTTTGGAGGATCCCGAGAAGTTACGTCCAGCGGCTTTGTTTTATTTTCCCACATTTGTGCACTTTCACAGATATTAAATACATAACCACACTACACAAAACACAATAAAACAAATCACACAACTCCACTCCTCCCGTTTCCGCCAAAAAGTCCCTACTTAAGTTGAGAACCTTGAGAGGCTATTTCAACGTAACCTTATCTAGTAGGTGAGCTCACGGGGCTCAAACCCGACGACGTTGCTAACACGAAACCTAGCAAGAGCCGTGCTTCGCAGAATCTACCGCCGGATCGGAAACGCGAGAACCACAGAAGATCCGGCGAGAAACTCAGTGGGCTGTGTCTATGGGTTAATTCGCTCGTCGAGCCCTTCGTCGCAAGCGACGGGTTCGACGAGGACGGTGACCGGAGTCTTGAAATCTGACCTTGACATGCGCAGAAGTCGATTTTTGGGTCTGTTTGGGGGAACGAGGCAAGGGGGAAATGACGCCGGCCATGTTGATAATGTGATTGGACGATTGGCGGGTGACGGCTCAGGTGATGACCCTGGGCTCCGGTGAGCACTCGTTCACGCTACTGAGCAAATTTCTTTAATACAAATCTAAAGTTAATAACGATCAACGTCATTATTAAGCGAAACGTATTTTGATGGTATTTTACGTATCCCCGTATGACGTCACCGTTCGAAGATATTTCGATAAAGGTCTCGCGAAACAAACGAACAGACACTGACTTAAATCAATTGAGACACCGCGCATGAATCGGGATAAGTGAGTTTTTCCCAGAGCACATGTCGCCCAGAGACCTCTCGAGTTGTTCCTACCTTGGACAGAGGGTGCTTTGCCACTTCATCCGCTAAGTTGTTGAAGGGCGCCTCCAGCACAAGTCCGCGAGGCGGCGGCAAGACGCGGCCCAGGACCCGAAGCGAGAGCTGCTCCAAGTTGCCGAGGAGGTGCGCTGATATCGCCGTTCCTGAAACAGTTGAGGAACATTCACGGTCCATTCACAGTTCCAGTGCGCTTAGAGTGAGTTTTAACGCTCTCGATAGCGATAACGTTTAACGTTCCAACTCTCCATACAAATTCGAGTTAACTTTTACGCTATCGAGCTTTTTAACGTTCTCGATAGCGATAACTCAGGAGGGGAGCTCATTCCAAAGGCGGATGGTGCGTGGCAAAAAAGATCTCTGGAAACGCCCTGTGGATGAACGCAGTGGCTCCTATGGATGAAATTTTTTTACTGCTGGTAAGGACCTCTTGTGAGTCCGCGCGGGTAGGTACAACCACCCTGCCTATTTCTGCCGTGAAGCAGTCATGCGTTTCGGTTTGAAGGGCAGCCGTTGTAACTATACTTGAGACCTTAGAACTTATATCTCAAGGTGGGTGGCGCATTTACGTTGTAGATGTCTATGGGCTCCAGTAATCACTTAACATCAGGTGGGCTGTGAGCTCATCCACTCATCTAAGCAATAAAAAAAAACTCCGGTGGCGGTGGTAAAAACTCACGAGCACTCCCTAAGCTGTTGGAGTACTGTGAACCAGGCCGATAATTAGCTCATCATAGCTCAAGTACTCACCCAAAGAGTGTCCCCATACGAATACAGGCGGCGTCTCCCCACCCTTGTCTGCGGTGGCCAGAAGCCAGTCGTAGACGACCAGTGCGTCTTCCACGACGCCCTCCTCAGTCGGACACAGGTTCGTGGAGTCCCCATAGCCTGTCGAAATCAAGGACTTGAAGATGTCCTTGCACCGGTTGCGGTCCTATGTCTAACGTTGTAACTATACTGGGACCTTTGTCTCAAGGTACCCACCTTGGAAGAGGAGGACATAAGGCAGGATTTGGGGGAGGCCTATGCGAAAGCTTACTGGTGGTAGGACATCTTGTGAGTCCGCGCGGGTAGATACCACCACCCTACCTATTTCTGCCGTGAAGCAGTAATGCGTTTCGGTTTGAAGGGTGGGGCAGCCGTTGTAACTATACTTGAGACCTTAGAACTTATATCTCAAGGTAGGTTAAGGCGCTTACGTTGCAGATGTCTATGGGCTCCGGTAACCACTCAACACCAGGTCGGCTGTGAGCCCATCCACCATTAATGTAATAATAAAAAATAGCACAGGGGAATTATACGTTCCGATTTTGAGGGTAGAATAATAATTATTGCGATACAACTAGGACTAACTAATTAACTGAGGATACGAGTTTATTTTCTATGCATAGGTTTTGTAGAACCTATGTACTCCCGACCTGCTGGAGCTTAAAGACAAGGGCCACTCAGCACTTGAGACATCAGGTCATGATTGTAGCGCCCGCCCCACCCTTCAAACTGGAACGCGTAACGTTCTCGCGACAGAACTATGCAGGACTTTTTTTAATGATTGAGGCATTACTGGTGGCCCGGAGGCCTTTCCAGTTTCACCACGACAGGTGGGCGAGCAAGAACTCAGCCAGAAACTATACTTGAGACCTTAGAACTTATATCTCAAGGTGGGTGGCGCATTTACATCGTAGATGTCTATGGGCTCCAGTAACCACTTAACACCAGGTGGGCTGTGAGCTTGTCCACCCATCTAAGCAATAAAAAAAAGAAGGGATGGGATTTGCTAATAGCCGAGCGCCTCCAAAGGTGACCTAACAACTCGAGAGCAGCTGCTTCACGAATGAATCTACTACCTAGATCAGCGGTCGGGGAACTTTTTTAATTATTACCCCAAAATATTTTTGTCTAAGTTGATATTACCCCATGGCGAAGAACAAAAAAACGAAATCGCTTCTTTTTTGCATCTTTCATATTGTAGCAACCATGATAATTTTGAAAAAAAAAAATATAATAATTTTTCGTTTAGTCTCATTTCGTTTCATCGAGTTGGAAATCACAACGATTCTAAAGAAGTTTCACTTCAATATGTAATTTTTACTCACAAAAGTTTAATTTTTACCCCCCAAAATTTCATTTTACCCCATTTGGAGTAATTTACCCCGGTTCCCCGACCGCTGACCTAGATACTACTACTAAAATACTGTCTGCGCATAGGTGACCTCATAAAAACAGCTTTAGAAGAAGGACTTCGCTGTAACTATTCGAACACACCCTGTATATCATAGAAATTACAGAATAGTATGATCTCATTAGTGTTGGTACCTCTGTAATCAAAAGCGATGGTGTGGAAATCCATTTTCTGAAAGAACTTATACAGCTGTATTCTGTGAGAGGCGGCGCGCGAGTTTGAATTTCCTGAAATAGATGAAAAGCACTTTTTATAGTCTTATGAATCAGCATGGGTAGGTACAACCGCTCTGCCTAATTCTATTGGAGTTGATAGATATCAAAACTCCTTATAAAAAAAAAAATACATAGACAGCAGAGCAAATAAATCGGTTGTCTGTAAAGTCGGTTTACTGACGATAGTTGAACGTGATAACGTCATAAGAAAATACTGATGGAATTGTTTCATTTTTCAAAAGAAAATTTAAATTTTATTTGTTTGATAGATATTTTGTATGGACAATTGACACCACATTCACCTTTCACTGAACTTCATACTTGACGAAAACATGTAAATGTATTATTGTATAGCAGCTGTCCACGCGGATGCATCGCTCACTCAAGTAGGAGAGAGACAGATGTCGAACGCTGCCGAACGCGGAGGCCGACTGTGCCTCTTTGTAGCTCGTTGCGCGCTCTCGCTTTTACTTCAAGCCTTAAATGGAACGCCTCAGAGCGAGGTAACGCCGCATGAGTCATGTTTTTTCGTGCGTGCAGCCGGCTCCATCGAATTATAAGACGTTATCACGTCAAAAATGTCCGTCGGTTCGTGAAGTAAAACAAAATAACAAAACTGTGATTTTCGATAAAAAATTCTAAAGCATCCGAGTAATTAATTCTAATTTATAAAAGCGTGTTAGTATATTATTTCGTAACTGCCTGCACTCTGCAATTTAAAGATTGGACTCCGCTACCAAAAACTCAAAATTATATTAAATTCTGCCATGAAGCATTAATGTTTTTCGGTTTGAAGGGTGGGGCAGCTGATGTACTGGAAAACTGAAGCTTAAAGCTTTGGCGGTGACTGCATTTACTTTGGGTTCCGATGACCACTTAACACTGAATGGGTTGTGAACTCATATACTCACCTTAGCAATAAAATAATACACTTTCTCAATTCCAACATTCACTTATCTATAAACATAAGGTTAAACTCTGATCTATATGGTATACGGTTGCCCAACTATTCAAACCCAAACACATTCATTACTGCTTCACGGCAGAAATAGACAGGTAGATACTGGTGCTCTCACAAGATTGAAATCCTTACCGTGGCAATAAAGCATTATTGGAGTCTTGGATGTGGCCAATTCATGATCCATTATTCTATTTAATTCCTCCTTGTCCGAATCGACTTGGAAATTTCCTTTCAATCTTTCATAGCTTGTTCTCGGTAAGATATGCCATATACCTAAAAGTATTGTATAGTGTAAGTTCTAATTATAATGATATTCATTTATTGCGTTTGTGTCACCGGTAGGCAATTCATGGTTTTTGCATTATATCGTGGCGAAACTTTTCAGGTCATTATCCCCACCATAAGAAAACTGATTGTACATTTTTACATAACAATAAACAATTTATTATTTTATTTAGAGCCGCTTTTATTTAAGCCTCCCAAAATGTTCTATTTAGAAAAATAGTCATAATGTAATAATAATACTATTTTATAATTATTAATAGTAAAACTGGGATCATCACACAGAGTCACCATGATGATGACTTGAGTTCCACATCCATCTTTCACGAATGAAGATTTCAACTGTGAACAATGAACTAAAAGTTATATTGTATGCGTATTGTACCTATTTTGATTGGACAATTGTCAACTTTTGAATGATACTCCACGCTCAGATTCCTGCCGCCCTCTATACCACTCGACGAGGGTTCTTCGAAGTTCACATTCAGAGGCCATTGTACTGAAATCAATTAATCACACAATGAAGGATACCGATTAAAGTCATTCTAGTTTATCTTTCACCAAACGAGTGTGAGTGTTCACGGTCTAATAGTCTTTGGCAAATCTGATGTACCAAGAATATGAATGAAGGAATGATTTATTTTATTTCAGACAACAACAAGCCCATATGTGTACATAGTATCATTGAAACATACTTAAAATTAACAAAACCAATCAAATAAAAAAGATACATTTATTAAAAATAATTATCAGTTGAATACATTTCAAATATTCCATTCAACTGATACTTACTTCACACCAACCATTATTATTATTATTTAGTCCGCAAGTGAACCATGGCACAATAGTTCAAGTACCGACAGTCATAACGGTCTGTTAATGTTTTCAACTGTTTTTTTAGGAATCTTTTTTACCTCGGTTGGGCATGTATTGATATATTGTGAGCTGGCAGCCCACATGAGAACCGAAGCACGACAACTTCGTCTACTGTGATATGATATTGTATAAAACGAAGATCTAGTTTGGAATTCATAAAATCTTAAAAACGACATTTCATTCATCAAAATAATTAGTGCTTCCCTAATAATCTAAAATTAACAAAAAATCAGTGAAGTTTTAGTTATTAAAAATTAAAGTTTAAAATTCATTTATCTTTTGACCCATTTCAGGCATTTTTCAGTTTAAAAAAAACTATTCCCAAAAAGGACATTGATCTGCACTCTCTAACTACATTAAATGGAAACAAAAAAGAAAGTTTGTCTAACAGATGAAAAAATAGTCAGTAAATGTTTTGTGCGAAATTCTCACCGAAATTAGCGAAGACTAGATTCCTCCTAAATGATTTTGAATATTTGAATATTAGTGGTACAACAGCTACGTGGAAAACGAACACTCCGGACGTTATTGTTGCACCAAGCAGCAGTATTCTGAAAAAAATAAACTAATTTAAAATATCTGTAAGCTGAATTGTTTTATTGCTTTTCAGAATGTTTCCCTCCTGATACTCAGTAGAACCTTTACAAATGGGTTGAATACTGAAGCTGCACTTTATATAATGCCGAGCTGGTCACCAAATGTGTGGCAATTTTTTTTTAATTTTTATTCTTTGCACTACTGAATAAGTTCTCTTTCCTCTGTCTTTCTTTCTAGGTTTCTCTAAGATACATACACACTTTAGTCCTTTTTATAAAGTTATCTACATTTATATAGGACATTTAGCAGCATGAGAAATATAAAGAGCAACTACCCTCTCTGTATTTCATATTTGTATCTGAAGAAGGCTTTTCTCCATTAGCTTTTGATTTGATACATTCTGGGAGTTTATGATGAATTAAGATTGCACATTTTATCCTCAGTTTATCTCAGTTTAATCAGTTGGGTTGTATCTCAGTCACAATCATAGAAAGTTTGTAATCATAATATTTTTTTATTTAATTTAAGTAATCTTTTATTTCGAAATATCACAGGCCTATAGTGTGTTAGTATTACAAATAATGTTAGTAAATAAAAACAAAATACATAAAGTAAATCATATCGATCCCTGCTAATGCCCCATTTAGTTATGTACTGATTATGAATTTCACAAATACTAGACAAATTAAAGTCAATTCGATATTTTGCAAATTTTAAATGTAAGGTACCATGGAGGTTTTTCGAAAGTGAAAGTATTGTGAGATATGAAAAAGAGAAAGGCTGTTTGATTAAATTTTTTGTTAATCAATTTAGCAATCCTATTTTTTAAGCAAAGAAATGTGTTATTTTTCGTTAAATAACATATTTCTGTGCATGAAAAATTCCTGGATTATCGCATTATTATACAAGTCAAATGTAGATAAAGCGCTTTAATAAGATTAGGCGTGATCGCATTATGTACATCGATTCGATTACTTTCACTAGTTTTTAATCTTTTTTTATTACCTTTTAATAATTTAGCGTTATTATTTATTCATAATTTTGTCGCACTTTTCAGAATAGTGTAAATTTTAATTGCAAAATTATTTATGAAAATGTAACGAAAACTTACCCAGCTGTATAAAGGGGCACTAAAATACAAATACCGGTCAAATCAAACATGTTTTAATAAGCGAAACTCGTGCAAAGTTTATTATTTAATTTAAAATAAACAATTAACAACATGCGGAACGAAAATCACAGAAAATCTATTATGACAACAAATGCATCATTAATACAGGATAAATACTACACATACTATTAACTTATGATTTTTTCAGGTATTTAAACAATATACATTCATTTACGAATTAAATTAAAAACACTAAAGAATTTACGCAAAAAAATAATCGGAACCTTCGGACTTTTGACGACATTTGTTTGATATGACTGGGTTTGATAAAATGAGTGTTTATTATTAAGTGTATAATCTATGGTATAACGTATAACTGTATACATAGTCTATGGATTTTATTGAATGACTTGAATACAATGAAGTAGGAAACCTATGGAAATGAAACGTCAACCAAAATTTCGTGCCAGTGTGACGTCATCTGGCCACAAAACATGGCGGCTTTAGTGCTGTACAAAAGATTTCAATGTTATCAGGTTTTATCGATAAACGTTCTTGGCTCATTTTATTTTAAATATTGTTGAGTATTATTTATTTGTAGAATTTATACTTTAATGGGAAGTAAGTAGGTATATTGTTATGTGCAAATATGATATGATTTAGATGGGTGAAATCTAAGACAAGTTCGTCCTTCGAATTTGCCAAGTAAACGATATGATGATTTTTAAAAGTTGCTACACTGATTTTATAAAGTTGTCGTTTGTCGCAAAACATAAAGATATGGCGTAGTNTTTTTTATTCGCAACTTTTGTAAAATCGCTAGTCGCTCGTAATTGTTTAGTAATATTTCATATTAATTTTTGTGTTTGATTTGAATTACTTAAGCACTTGTTTGAAGATAGTTTTATTATTTGTTTTAATGCGTGTTTAATAAGTGAAAGAAATAACGGCGTCTAAATGAAAGTACAGTCCTCCTTGGATGCACTTTGAGGATATCGCGCCGAAACAATGCATCTACTGCTCTCGTATATTAACATTATTGTCGAGCTCAATTTGCAGTCTAAGTCGCCATATGAAATCCGTTCATCCCACAATAAATTATATTAAGTAAAAAATAAAATTATTATATTATTAAGTAAGTCAATCTGTCAAGTAATACACTACTGTAATGACACACCCGAATCATTACCTAAGTGATGTGTTTATACACATCACTTAGGTAATGATTGATGAAAACATTACACATCACTCTTAACATTACTCGGTGCGTTCAATAGATACTGTGACGACGAATACATTGTATCTATACACCCGAATCATTACCTAAGTGATGTGTTTATACACATCACTTTGAACGCACCGAGTAATGTTAAGAGTGATGTGTAATGTTTTCGAGTAATATCACCTATCTGTAAAAGTGATGTCATATCACATTACATTGGGAAGTGATGTTTTGCGCAAGTCTAAAAATGAGTGTTTAATATTAAGTGTATAATCTATGGTATGCCCTATAACTGTATACATAGTCTATGGATTTTATCGAATGACTTGAATAACTTGTTAGAGTTGTTTGTTGTCAGTTGTCATTGGCATACGTAAATACACTTTAAATTTGGATTTTAGCTTACTTAGTTGGTACTTTAAATTATAGAAGTATTTTAACTAACTTGACCAATGTAGAGTATAGTTTAAATAATATATTCGAAAAGATGAAATTTTAATGGACTTTTTTGCAGGAAAGAGGGGAGCGAAGTTGTGTGAATTATTTTATTTTACTAATTTAGGTTTTTTTCGGGCTTCAATGTCTCATAACTGTGAATGAAACAAAGTCGCTGCACGTGGCTTCTCGGGTTTTTCTAAAAAGTTTACTAACCAGTAAATGATCACCATTTTACTAACACTCTATTTCATCTCATTGCGCACCATATCATGTAGGTAATAGATAAAGATTTTTAAAAACTCGACACTGGCAACAATGACTTATAGAAGTCAATCGTAGTAATTAATAGACTAATCGTGAAGTCAATTTCCGGTACAAAATTAAGAAGATTAAAAAATATGTTTAAATTTATTAAAATTGCTTTCTTATTTATTGTATATTTTTATTCGTATTGTTGAATGTTTTTAGTTAATTTTTAGTAAATAATTTTCTGCATCAGATCCGCAGCTTTTACTGTCAAGTGAAGACAACCAAACTATTTTTCTCGCTAACAATAAACAAGAAACCTAAATCGCCATTTGGACGAAGATTGATAAAAACTTTTATAGTAACGTCGCTCAATGTCATATAAAATCTCATTCAAAATAACACTTCATTGCATAGTATTAAATTAATATAATAGTGACAATTAAAAAAAAACTAGCAAACCTACATTAGCAGTCCAAATATAGTATACTAATGGCCCGCTCCGGTCCCGCTCGGGTCTTTAACAAAAATTTCAATGATATTTGACGTAGTTTTATTTTTTTAAATAAAAGAACACTTATTGCGGCATAACTAGAATAGTTAGAAATATGCTGTCGCAATACTTTTTGTAAATAATAATGTGTTGTACAAAGTCGTAGTACATTATTTTATTCTATCATCAATAGTTTTCGCAGGGCACGCGATGTAAAGAATATCTTTGGTAATTTTTTTACACCTTGGGTTACATTATTCGAGTTTTAGTAAGGATCCCTATTTTTTTTCAAAAAAGATTCTAGCCTATGTCACTCGGGAATAGTGTAGCTTCCAACCAGTGAAAGTATTTTTCAAATCGGTTCATTAGTTTCGGAGCCTATTCAATACCAACAAATCTTTCCTCTTTATAATATTAGTATAGAATAGATAAGTTTAAGTTAACTATTAGTTTAAGTTTAAGTTAATATTATTCTAGATTACAGACCATATATTAGAATATACTAGATTACAACTAGAGGACTCTCGAGTGCTACTTTAAAGTCTCTACTAAGATATAATTGTTTTATTAAATGTTTCTTTATTTATTACAAGCGATCCGCCCTCGCTTCGCTTCGGAAACATTAAATTTTGTTATTGATAGGCGAAGTCCGCCATGTTGCGCGCGGTACGACAATAACTGTGTGTGACGCCGCGGGGCAAAGCTAGTCAAAAGTAGCCTAAGTTACTCCTTATATCATCAGCTACCTATTAGTGAAAGTCTCATCAAAATCGGTCCAGCCGTTCCAGAGATTAGCCGGAATAAACAGACAGACAGACAGACAAAAATTGTATGTACCGTATATATATTCATATGCATGTAGTAAAAAGCGTTTATTTCAATACTACAAACAGACACTCTAATTTTATTTATATGTATAGATTGTACCGTTAGGAGATAGTTAAAAGTATGTATCATACTAGCTAGCGCACCCTTGATCATATATGTAACACTAGCGACCCGCCCTCGCTTCGCTTCGGAAACATTAAAACACACATGAAACCAAAAAAAATAAAAAAAAATAAAAAAAAGTAGCCTATGTTCATCAGGGACAATGTCGGCTTCTAATGGAAAAAGAATTTTTCAAATCGGTCCAGTAGTTTCGGAGCCTATTCGAAACAAACAAACAAACAAATCTTTCCTCTTTATAATATTAGTATAGATACGTAAAATAATAATTCGACTCAACAGAGTAAGCTTGAAAACTTCATAGTTTATTTATTAGGATTGTGCACTAAAACTGAATTGTACATTATTTTTGTTAGCAAAAAATTTCATTATACGTGATACTAGTATTCGGGAAGTTTTTACAACGCAATTGACTTAAATCGATTTGAAAACACTTATCGAATACTCCGTCTGTAGTTGTGGCACACAACTCTATTTATTTTATCTAAATACATACATCGCAAGCGACATCAATTTTTAACCTTATTATCTATGTTATTGGTAAGGTCATGGGTTAGATCTGACGAGAAATCATAAATAAATGAATTTTTTCTTTGAATTCCGTTGATGTTTAAAATATTTGTTAGATCAAGTTCAGGTTGGGAATATTATGAACGGCTAAAATAAATTTAGAATGTAAAAGATAAAGAAGCATTTATTAAAAATCCTAATGAATCTTTAGGTACATTCTATTAATATAATTTTTGTAAGCATTTGATATCGGCCAAGATTGTTTTGCTTTTTTTTATTGCTTAGATGGTTGGGCGGGCTTACCTGGTGATAAGTGTTTACTGGAGCCCATAGACATATACAACGTAAATACGCCACCCACCTTGAGATATGTTCTAAGGTCTCAAGTATAGTTACAATGGCTGCCCCACCCTTCAACCCGAAACGCATTAATGCTTCACGGCAGAAATAGGCAGGGTGGTGGTACCTACCCGCGCGGACTCACAAGAGGTCCAGTAAACTTTCGCATAGCCCCCCTCCCCAAATCCTGCCATATGTCCTCCTCTTCCACGTAGAGCCCGCTACGGTTTTTATGTCGTCCACTTACCTTTGGAACGGTCGTCCTTTTAATGTTTTCCCCTCTCGAGGTTACTAATTTAGTCCATTTTTATGTTTTGCTTCTTATTAGATGACCTATCCATTTCCATATGAAGCGTAAATAAATAAAATTACTCTCGTCAGGTAAAGCACGTGAAATGGGTACTAACATGAACCGATATTGGTTATCGGTTGGATTGGCCAGGTAGCCAGCACTTCAGAACGGACCGTTAGTATTGAATGTTCTGCGATCTGCTCGCATCGGGAATTAGGGCAGGTAGGCACAAAGATACGGCAGAACGTACGCTAACTGGTTACTATAATATAGCATCAGGGGCGTGTCCTGTAGATTTACTAGACCTCTCGCTGTCCACTATCGTGGCTATGATGCCTTGACAGCAGCGAACAATGAGGTACTTCACATTTACCAGTCCATTCTAGATTATACGCAGCAAGAGAGAGCTTTTCTCTCGTCTGCACCGAACTGAGACAGAAGGAATATATTTCCAATCTTCCGCCTCAAACACAGCATTTGCAACGATAGATCTTGCAAAACGTATGGGTCCCATCTGCTCTTTTAATTACTACTGCTGCTACTACTGCGCTGGCGCTATGACCCCGAACTGGGACTTGGCCTCCGACAATAAACATTGCTATTCATCCCGGCGCTGCGCAACACCTTGCAGTCCGACACTAGGAGCTCACGTAAATTTCCTTCCACAGCGTCAGAACAGCGGTACTTGGGCCTCCCTACGGGGCGGCGTCCCTCCCGTACACCCGTTTCACAGCCCGATCCTGTTCCATACGCACTACAAGCCCGAGCCATCCGAGCTTCCGCTCCTTCATCTCCCCCAGAATATTTGGCTCACTAAAAAGCCTCTCCGCGTCCTGGTTTTTCCGGACGTGCTAAGAACCGTCATCTTTCTGAACTGGTCCTAGTATATTGCCATTTTAATTAGTATTCTTTTAATTAGTACTATGATTGACCCGGTGAAGCAATAGTTATAGTCCCACGTCGGGCAAATATTCGTGTGATGGACAGGTTTGTGTGCTCTTTATCTGGGTGTATAATATCCATATATGTACATATTTAAACATGTATAAATGTGTATATCAACCTCTGGTACCCATAACAAGGATTCCTAATTTGGGGCCAGATGACCGTGCGTGATTTAGTTCCAGTTATTTATTTTTATTCAATCGAGTGAACATGGGTTGTCATGGCATGACAAGCAATCATTGGAAGTAGTTTCCAGGCTATTGTTGATCAATGATTTTTGAACTTGATTCTTTATTTTTTCTACTATTGAAGTCTAATCCTCAATTATCTTATTTTAGCATTGTTTAAGACGTTAAGTTGGTAATGGTAACATAAATTCTTAGATGTGCCCAGAAAACTTCTTCAAAAGCTAATATAAAGAAATTCGTTATTATATTAAATCACGGAACCCTAATAAAACCAAAGTATTTCGTTAACAGAAATCACATTTTGACACATTTATCACAGCAAGCAACCAAGATGTTCGTAAAATATTTATTGTGCCTCATATTAATAATTAAATCAATCGAATCTAAAATTTCAATAGACATCGACACTGGCATCGACAATCCGGATATAACGGTTACGTATGCAGGTGTGCAAGTTGATCTGATATCCGACGATGACGTCACTAAGTTTAATATCGACGATGACAATTTGAAGGATGCAGTGCGAACGTATTTCGGGAAGAGTCCGTCCGGAGTCTACTTGAAAAGTCCAACGCCATGGGGCGATCTGTACAAGAAGTACAAATTCGAACAGGTCAGTAGGGTGTTATCAGTGAAATCGGCGCGACTCAAATCGATAACCAAGAACCCGGCTATAATCACTACGCAGGACTTTGAGAACGCCTCCAATAAAACGATCAAAGTGAACACCGGTATCACGCACACAGTCGAAAATACTTTAACCACAACATGGACTGAGGATAAGGCATTCTCAATAACTCAAGAGATTGAGTATGATATAAACGTAATGTTCACCAAAGTGAGCGGTAAGACAGGCTTCTCGTACACGTCTACTTGGGGCAAGAGCGAAGAGGTCACTGAATCAATCACAATCGGCGCCAGCACTGGTATGGAAGCGGAGTTACAGCCGGGTCAGGCGATCACAGCCGTTTTATCGGCATACACCGGGGTCTTGGAAGTGGAGGTCGTGTACGGTCTGTCGCTGAGGGGGAATGTGGTGGTGAACTTCAAGAGGTCCCACAACGGACACCACTTCTGGGGACCGCCGATACAGAAAATTTTAACCAGCGCCGGTGTAACCAATGAGTTCACAGCGATGGAAACCATAAGTTTCGGTTTCAATGTAGACGCGTCTTTAAAAGTTTTCGACAGGGAGACCGGAAAGCCTTTGTAAATTAAAAATTGTGTTTATGATTCTCTAAAAAAGTCTTGTTTTTATTTCGTACTAAAGGTCCCGCAGTAGTCGAAATTCGACTATAATTAATTGGAATTGTAAGTTTATACACTATTATGATTGTATTTTCAACGCCAAGACTACACTATAGAAAAATATTAATAAAGACAAACAATATTTTTAATCTATTCTCAATTTGACGTCAAGAACAAAAGTTTGACAATAAATAAATAGTATGCATGCGTATGTGTGTCAAATACACGGTAGTGTGTGTAATGTTTTCTTTATTGATTTAATGTATCTTTTATGCATTATTTAAAAAAAAAAATAGCATTGTGCACTTCTTCTCTATATTCTCTATAAGTGTGGAAAATTTCATACTCCTCCGTCCGCGCAATTTTCGTAAAAAGGGGTACAAAGTTTTTGCTTCACGTATTAATATATAGAAGATTTCTATTTTTGTGTAACCGTCGTCGTCTCGTGCTTCTTCTCCGACAGGAAAATCGGTGGAACAAGAAATTTTGATGCGTCATTTAGTCTTTAAGTGAACACCGCACATAGATATTGCTTGCTCCGCCTGACCTCCGCCTTGCTAGCACCCCTCAGTGCTATATATAAAACTATTTATTCGGAATTGTGTATTTTATATGATTGCGATAAAGTTTTCGGTGTGTGGTGTCATTCCAACCGTGTATCGGGATTTAATTGCAAAAGGAATGCAGCGATTTTAGGGGTAGGTATTTAAAATTTAATCTCTTAATATTATTAGGTACTTTAGTAAAAAAATGTGAGAACTCGTGAGCAAGTTTCACATTAGAGGGCAGATGTATTTTTATTTATTGTCATGTGGATGTCATTCAGATGGATGAGCTTATTGTCCACCTGGTGTTAAACGGTTACAGGGGCCCATAGACCTTAACAATGTACATCCAACCACTATGAAGCGTATGTTCTAAGTTTTAGTCTTAGAGTACAATAGCTGCCCCACCCTTCAAACCGAAACGCATTACCTGCTTCACGGCATAAACCATGCGTGCAAACAATATTTCCATAGTAAAGGTAATGTCACCATTATAAGCGTTGTGGTGCATACTGTGAGCCTGCAAGGATAGGTACCACTATTCTGCTTAACCGTTACGAGGTTTAGTTGAGATTTCGACCTCATGTTTTAGGGTGGGGGGCTGTATTCACATTGTGATGAGTTCCGGTGATCTCTTGTCACCGGGTAGGACGTGAACTGGTTCATCCATACGCGCAATAAGAAGAAAAGAGTAAACGCATTATTTTTTAATCGATATCAAACCTGCATGGCAATTTGAAACTCTACTCCAAATACTAAAATCGAAGCGAAAAATTTAACCACATTATTAGTATTTCGTAAAAGCATACAGATCCCTAAATTGCACCGTCACGAATTGAACTAATACCACTTACAACTTTCATTACATTAATACAACCGAAATTGAACTTAAGGGGCTTCCAATAAAAGTCGTTGTAAATGCAAAACATGAGCTTGTCGAAATTCAAACACGAAATGACAAAGTTTTATTTGCGGTTCCAAAACCAAAACTGCCGAAGAGATGTTAAGAGCTGAGATTCAATCTAATGGCAAAAATAAATTTGTAGATACGTTTTATGGTTGCACAAAGTTGATATTGCGCGCGAAAATTTTTTTTATTCGAAGCGTATGCTACTAAGATAAATTTGCATAACGGCATATATAAAATTGTTTTGTGTGATGTGACGTGCAGGTGACAATACATTTTACCAAAGAATAATGGATCGTAAAAGTATAATAGAACCTTGTGCATATGGCGTACGAATTCGACATTGAAAATCTTACACAATACGAGGAGGAGGTGTATTGAAACTAATCTAGAAGACGAAGTCAGGTGATAAGTAATACTTTAATCCTTAATGCCTTGTTCAGATTATCGGCGAATAATTAGCTGAATAATTCGTGTATGAAAACGACCATATAAAGAGGTCAATCGAAGTCGGCGTGGCCTAAAGGTTAAGACACCCGGTGCATTCGTATTGAGCGATGCGACTGAGCTGGTGTTCGAACTCCGCAGGCAGCTCCAATTTTTTTTTATGAAAAAGGTTGACGCATATTTATGAATTACTTCCAAGAGGAAGGCCATCACGGCAAATTTCGGCAAATCGTTTTGTGAGCCCTGCCTCCAGGCTCCACGCCTACCTATTTCAGGAGCAAAATTCCTATATAAAATTCGTTGCTATACATTTGGAATTAGAAGCCAATTAGACTTCACGTCTCAAGTGGGTAACAGCATACACGTAGTGATATATCTATGGACTCCATTAATCGTAGAACACCAGGTGGACCGTGAGGTGACTCATCCATCTGGGGAATGAAAGAAACATGTATTTGTGGATAGCTTCTTTCAAACATGGATGACGCACGTTTCGCTGCTACGGATTTGTTTTGATGTATGGTTGGTAGGATTGCACGGAAGGGTGGTAGCGCAATTCCGAGAGACTCATCATGACTGGTAAGGTGGATGGAAAAAGGCCTCGGGAGCGCAACCCAATACGTTGGTCCGACCAGATCTGCTCTTGATTCCACATTTCACAACGCCCTCCACACCACCAGAGACAAGAATAGATGGTGAAAGATCGTGCGTCCGATGGTGATACAAAAGGGCGGTCACGACCCTCAGCAGTGAGGAATACGACGCAAGGAGGATGGATGGTAGAGATAAGGTGTTCCTTGTTGCCTACCCTTCCTAGTAGCCTCCAGGGGTTATATCGCCTTCATGGAAAGTGTAGGCCAGCTCATGTAGCTCAACCTGGTGGATTTGCTAATACTAGCCTTAACAAGAGCAGTGCTTCGCTGAATCTACCACCGGATCAGAATCGTGACCAATTGAGAAGATCCGACGAGGAACTCAGTGGGCTGTGTCTGTGGGTTAAGTTACACGACGAACCCTTCGTGCTTGGAATTTATTAAGTGATCTAGAAACTGTACAAAAGCGATACGTAAATATCAAAAGACCAATCACTGCACCGTGTTCGTGGCTATTCGTTTGTACTCGGCGAGTATGTAATGGAGGCATTAAATTATAATATAAAAATCGCAGTCTATATATATAAATATCATTTTAACCCTATTATTTTCTCGCCGGACTTTCTCACTGGGTAGTTAATCTGTGGCGTGCAACATTGGCATAACGGCTCGGACGTCATCGGGTGAGATCGGAATTCCCGAACGCGCAGGTGTCCCGTGACGTCATCACAAGATTGCTGCATTTTTTTTTTTTATTGCTTTATTAGATGGACGAGCTCACAGTCCACCTGATATTAAGTGGTTACTGGAGCCCATAGACATCCACAACATAAATGCGCCACCCACCTTGAGATATAAGTTCTAAGGTCTCAGTATAGTTACAACGGCTGCCCCACCCTTCAAACCGAAACGCATTACTGCTTCACAGCAGAAATAGGCGGGGTTGTGGTACCTACCCGTGCGGACTCACAAGAGGTCCTATCGCCAGTAAAAAAACCTACTTAAAGTATTACTAAAGTATTTTCATTATGATATAACAAACACATCGACTTTATTTTCACGGTGTGCCCTACCAGAAGATAGCTTTCGTGAATTTCAAAATTATACACCATTCAAAATGGCCTCGATCTCTGACAGAATCGAATAGTCCTTGCCCTTAATCGATCGCCCCAATTTAGATTAGAAACGAGATGACGCGATCTTTATTCACGCCTGTTAATTCTTTATTTGGATGCTGTATTATAATTACAGGTGTTTGGGACTGTAGTCCAAATGTTCTGTATCGAATCCGAGCGCCCTTGAAGACGTAGTTGGAGAGAAAAGACCGATCGTGGCCCGGAGATGAGTGTGCTTAGTGCGAGTACCTTAACGTTCTCGATAGCGTAAAAGTTAACTCAAACTTGTATGCAGTTGGAACAGCGCCCCTAGTGGCAAACGTAGGCATACGATCCCATTCCATACAAAGGAGACTGAAACGATTACATACATTTTTGGGCCCGAATGTAACGTGATGAAACTAATATGAATTAATAGATTCAGATTTATCAGTACCTTGCTGAAAATTATAATACATAGTTTTCTCAATCTCAGAACCGAGTTAATAAAGATTTAGTAAAAGTTAGGATAAGTTACAATCTCTTTAAAAGAGCTGAATAATAACTTATTTAAGCATAAGTAAATGTTTCTTATATCCATTGGATAATCTTTTAAATGTCATATTATGAATGAATATCTATACTAATATTATAAAGAGGAAAGATTTGTTTGTTTGTTTGTTTCGAATAGGCTCCGAAACTACTGGACCGATTTGAAAAATTCTTTTTCCATTAGAAGCTGACATTGTCCCTGATGAACATAGGCTACTTTTTTTAAATTTTTTTTAATTTATTTTTTTGGTTTCATGTGTGTTTTAATGTTTCCGAAGCGAAGCGAGGGCGGGTCGCTAGTCAATGATATATGTCAGGTATGGAATATGGAATTGCTATCCCACAATTCACACAGCGATCCATAATTTCAACAGTATCCAATGCAACAATTTCAAGTCAAACGTGTGAGCGATCTTCGGTGTCCAGTGTAGAAGCAAATGTCGTACAAGGCTGGCAGAGTTGGAATCCGTAATAATAAAGCAGTAATCATTGAAAATATAAAAACAGCCCGATAGATACACACTCAAAATGCGTCGAAGATACAAAACGAGTAGAGCAGAAAAAACCAACAAGCGCCAAAAAATAATTGTATAATCTATGAACAAACGTCATGTCAGCTTACTGTCAAAGCTGTCATCAAAAATACAATCGATTTTAATCGATTTGAAATCGATAATCATATTANTTTAGGGGTACTTTTAATATTATTAGGTACTTTACTAAAAAATGTGAGAGCTCGTGAGCAAGTTTCACATTAGAGGGCAGATGTATTTTTATTTATTATCATGTAGATGGATGAGCTTATTGCCCACCTGGTGTTAATGGTT